GATTAAAGTTGATACCATGGAATATGGAAAATATTTTAAATATATTTGGTAAATTGTTATGACAAAAGATATTATTTCCATGTTAAAATACCAATTAATGATCCGGATATTTTTTTTGGCAGGTTTAGCCTAATCATCAATTAATGATGATAAATAAAAATGGAAGATATCAAAGTAATAAATAATGACATGTGTAAAATGAGTAGGATGCCATGTAGATTCACACGTGTCGATGACATGGATGCCAAATGTCGGATTTCTAAGCTATGAGAGTTTCAGTTTATATATTATATAGATGAATGTGAACGGGAAGCCTGATAGTAATGCTCCGCCATACTAGCAAGATTGTAGAACCATTAGCACTGGATATCTAAAATATGGAGGAAGCTGAATCCGAGCCTACTAAATTTCTGGTTGTCCTATTGACTTAAGACTACAGTTTATCAACGAGCGGCAATGGAAATAAATGACAATTTATGTAAACCTCATGCTTGTGTTTTATTTACTTTTTTCTTTTTGAATTGTTGTATAGTGCTTTCAAGACTTGCACATTTAAAAAATGGTTATGTCGGTACTATAGTTTCAAACTATTTAGATGAATAAAATTTATAAGTACAACAAAAGCGAGATGCGTCAAAACCAAAGAAGATGTATAAAAACCAAGTTGCCACGTCAATGAAATCAACTAAAATATGAAACATGAGAATAATATGGACATTCATGGTCTGCTCTGAACTCATTCTGAAGTAACGTGAAGCACGCTTTTCAAGCTCTATTGTACTCAAAGGATGAGGAGGATACCTAGGCTTCTCCTGGTTTCTTACATTTGTTACCTGAAGGTGAGAAACCGTAAGTACTAAGTACAACACCTGCCAATGGTAATGTGTTTATTCTCTCGAAATTAGTGTGCTTCATAGAGACTCACGGTTGCATTGGATTCCAGGACACACATTTCATATATTATCGTTGCACATGTGTAATCAAACAAATGCCCTCGCCTGCAAGGTGACAGAGCCATTAGCTTCAGTTAATATTGTAATTAAATTTGATGGCAAGGTAATGATGGTTACATCCAGCTAAATGTAGCGGTGCCTTCTTCTGAATTATGGGTACAGTTAATTGTCCAGAACTCTTCGGGTTCATGTGATTGGATTTCCCAGAACCTCTCTACAACAAACCCTAAGAGTAGGGAACTGCAAAAATCATGATAAGCAAAAACAAAAGTATCAGTAAAGTGCAAACTTCGCACAGTCAACAAGAGTTGATATGTAAGATACAAGAATGTCAAGGAAACATAATAGACTGTTTAAACTTCTCATTCATATCTATTAGTTGATGAATGAATGAATGAGGGTGTGGCTCACCTGGCAAGGACCATAGCTTAAAATAACATTTCTTTCCTCAGTAGCGAAATCAAGAACAAATGCATCTTTCAGAAGCATAGTCTGAAACCGGGTGAAAGAAGCTCCTATCCAAAGATCTATTTCCTGCATAGTATTACCAATTAATTTAACTGACTTTACAGATATAGAACAAAAATCTGTAATCAGGAGCCCAACGGCAATCCAGTACAAGTTCTTTTGAAGGTCTCCAAATTTTACAGCCAACATTGTTATAGCATACACTAATATATTTTAGGTAATAATGAATATTTGGAGATAACTATTCAACTAATTAAAACCAGTGATCTTTCAGTACTCACTTGTCGAACATCTACAGCATCGGCAAACAATTGATTAGGCCGAACAAGGTGCTGCACTGCATCATGAATTTCCCTGAGCATCCCAAATTTTATTGTAGTATGTAAGCAAATATAGATGGAAAGAGAAATCAGTATAAACAAGTATAGAATATCATCCAACAATTGAAACCTATCAATTAGGGCAGAGAAACGAGCTCTCCAGATGTTGAGATTACGATTCGTTCGTAGGCAAGCTTCTACCACCTCAAATGCTATATTTTCTCCTTCTCTATCGCAATCAAGCCACAGGATAAGCCATTGACACTTTCTAGCTTCTTCCTCCAGTGTCTTTTCGATGTCCGATTTGTCCTACATTAAGGAAAAAAAAAAGGATTCATAAATTATTTCAGTTCAATCATTCTCAGAGTGAAACTATAAAATCCATTACAGTAACATTATTCTATATTCATGGCCCCTCTCCAAACAGATATCTATACCAAATTCCCCGAACACGTAAATCAGCATAAACATTCTCTTATATCATCAAAAACAAAGTTAGCCAGGGTCAATCCTGTTTCTTCAGAATCAACTTTCACTTGAGAACCATAGGAGGGAATGAGTCAAAAATTCTCAAAACAATTATCATCAGTCCCTCGAAAAAGACAGCTGTTAAGGAAGCATCCAGAATCATCAGATAATGACCCTTCCTAAACTAACTTAAATATCATTTTTGAAAAAGATTATTTTCTGGGCAGAAAATCCACACCGGTCATTATTAATATAAAGATAGAGACTTTGGAACAAATATATAATTTTCCCCGAGCACGAGGCTACAACTCATACTTAGCATAATTTACTCTTCGCCACTACATCACTCTCTGAAGACACATAAAAACGTCGAAGGTATAAAATTACAAGCCGGTATACAAAAAAAAATGAATTAACCAGAAATGAATATGTACATAAATCCACCCCGGAACTCAAGGCCTTGCCTTTACTGCATACTTTGCTATGAACTCATGGACGCACTGCATCTAATACCCAGACCGAACAAACACATGCGCGAGATATAACCTTTGAAGAAAAAAAATAGTAAATTACCTGCGGTACGTGTTTCCTGACGGGGGCGTGGTAGAGATCGACGGGGTCACATGAGTGCCACTTGCGATAACGATCCTCGAACTCGAGCTCCATGAGATGTCCGGTGACGGAAGTGAACGACATTTGAAATTGCTGGTTCTGAATGGCGTAGTTGAATTCGAAGATTTTGTTGTATCTGGACCGGCCTTCTCTCACCCTCAGCCCTCCGCTTGATGGATTCTTCGAGAGGATACCGGACACCGCTTTAGCCACCGACGGCTTCTCCGCCACGTTCAGCACCCTTAACGGCCGCCCGCCGCCGCCTGCCATTCGGAAGGTGCTCTTTCAGTAGGTACTGTTGTTCGTGGCACTGGTTGTGAATCCGTATTCCAATTTAAAAATGGGCATGCGATTTGGGGATTTTGATTTTCCCGCCCTTTGGTTTTGGGATTGCGATTTGACTTTAAATACCCCTCGCTTCCATAGTGTTGAAGTATAATTGGGGTGGTGTTTATTACCCAACAGCTCCTGCCAACTGAACACCCTATCGAGTATTGACTTTACCACTGTCATTGCCAATTTGCCATGGTAAAGTCGTACCATACCGAAATATAATTAAGGGCAAATGGCAAAAAGGCCCATCATATGGGACTTAAATGCATTTTGGTCCAAAAAAAAACAGTCTCTCAATTAAGCTCATCCCCGTGTCTTTAGTCTAAAATACCCTCAATAATATAATTCTTATCAATTACACCCATTATGATCTAACTTCCTTAATATTACACATTGACCCCGGATTTAAACAAATATATCACATTAACCCCCAAAACTTTTTTTTTTCAGAAAATAATTTTTTTTCTGAAATGTCCAGATTCCGGCGTTGACTTTTTTTTTTCGAAAACTTTTTTTTTTCCTGAATTTTTTTCCGCCGGTCTCCGGCGTTGACTTTTTTTTTTTTTTCTTAGAAGAAAAAAATATTTTAATTAATATTACTGTTTTAGCTACTAAATTACTGTCTCAGACAGTAATATTACTGTTTGGGACAGTAATATTATGAATATTATTTTTCCGAACAATAATATTATTAATATTATTGTCTAAGACAGTTAAATTACTGTTGTAGACAGTAATTTAGTTGTTGAAGACAGTAATTTAGCAGCCAAGACAGTAATATTAATTAAAAAAAAATATTTAAGAAAAAACAGAATTATAAAAAAAAAAAAAAAAAAAGTCAACGCCGGAGACTGGCGGTCTCCGGCGGTCAACGCCGGAATCTGGCCGGAAAAAAAAAACATTTCAGAAAAAAAATATATATTTTCTGAAAAAAAAAATTGGGGGGTTAATGTAATATATTTGTTTAAATCCGGGGTCAATGTGTAATATTAAGGAAGTTAGAGCACAATTGGTGGAATTGATAAGAATTAGGGTTAAAATTGGGGTCAAATTGAATTTTGGGTTAAAATTGGTTAATTGATGAAATTAGGCTAAATTGGAGTGTAAATCATGAAATTGGAGTTGAATTGGGTTTCAATGAATTGGGTGTAATTTTGGTATATATAAAAGGATTTTCCTTATTTGCAAATAAGTTTGAATGGGGTGGATTTATTTGAAAGACAAAAAAGTTGGATGTCCCTCTTTTAATTAAGTGCCCTTGTCATGGGCCTATTTGCCATTACCCCTATAATTAAACATAATAAATCGATATCTTTAAGATGTCGAGAAATTTTCATAAAAATAGACATATGTTCATACAAAATCGATCTGCAAATGTCGAATTTTCCCTTTAAAAAACGACATTTGCAGCACTAGTAGAAAAAAAGTTTTTCGCTACCACTCAAATCCGTAGCGAATAGTCCACTTTTTGTAGTAAAAGACTTTTTGCTAGGAATTTGCTACGAATTTTTCTCCGTAGTGAATACGAGCGTGACAAAAAATTTGCTACAGAAAATTATCGTAGCAAATATTTTTTTACTACAGAACAACTAGCATTTACTACGACCATTGAGTTGTTACAAATACATGACTATTTGATACGGCATATTCTGTAGCAAAAAGGTTGTCCTATTTTGCATCCAAACCCTACCTTTTGCTACAACCACCTCCCGTAGTCAAAAATATATTTTTTATACAACTTTTATTTGTAGCAAATACTAGAATTTATATACTTCAAAAGTTATTTCTAGCAATAAACCTAAAATATATAATTACATATCTGAAATATATTCAATACCAAGTCATATATAATTAAATGATCATAAAATCCAAAAAATATCATATCTTAAAATCATACAATATACATCTTTCAATGAATCTTTATACAAATTAAATTTTGAGAAAGCTTATTATGTTACCCTTGTCCAAAACTAACCAAGATTAACTGTTATAAACCAATTCTTCATTCATTTGCTGCAATATTTTTTGTTTCCTCTATTGGCCGTCTTTAAGCTTTTGCAACTATTGTGCCCACCTTGTTGGTGCACATCGCCTGGGTGGTTCTTCCTAACTGTTATGATTCTCTTTCCTCATACACTCATGAAATCTTTTCTATAAATTCTTTTATTCTCCATACTCTTGACCCTTTAAGACAATTCACGAGTATTGGGTTATGCAAAGAAAATAAAAACATAAACAATAATTCGTTCTTCTTCTTAAACGATTAACATAAATGGGAATAATAATTAGAGTTGGAAGAAAACTATAAGATAAACATAAATAACATTGATCTACAAAAACATAGTGCAACAACCACTTCTCAATTTTGCCAGCTAGAACAGATGGCATCACATTTTGAACCAAAAAGAAACAACCAATGGATCTAAGTAATTGGTACTAATTTAAGGTGACATGCGAAAAATCCTATAGTTACAACACATTTGGAAAAATTCCTCCATCCAAACGCACTCTAACTTTCTTTTTTTGGGGATAAGTAGATAATAATGCAACTTAATATTGTCTAAACACTGTTTTTTGCTCAACAAGATATGTTCCAAATGAGAATTTATCTCATAGTTGATCCGTCTAGATTACCCTTAAGTAACATGTTTAGATAATTACTATATAAGAAAACAACCAACGAAAGATAGAAAAGGGATTATTCGGTCATACCGCAAGATCCCTAGCAGCTAGTAATTTCTTCACCTACGAATTTGTCACATAATCTCTCTATTTCAGTTTCTTTCTTTGAGAAACTTCAATATTTCAGCTTTCGAGTAATCGTTTTCTGCAAATGGACCCGCAGGAAAAGGCGTGATTTTCACAATCAAACGAGGCATAGGGAGCTCATCAAACAAGGCCCACACATTGTTACAACAAATAGTTTCTCCATGAGTATTTTCCCTCCTAATTTGACACTCCTGCAAAAGAAAAAAATGAAAAAATGAAGAAACAGAAGCTGCAAGAACTAATAAATAGAGAGTTATAACACAAATTAAGGTAAGTTGAAAGACTCATGATTATTATGTATTACCTTGTGGGAAGTGGCATCTCTAAACTGATCATCGTCCGACAATTAGGATGCGATGGCTTTAAGCAAACACCTACCTTCTGATTTAGAATGAATTTTGTAATGTCACCCAAATGTACTATTTGTTGTTGGATGCCATTTGCTCACTATTTTTTTTTTTCTATCAGCTGTCTCTTTCTCTGCACAAAGTTAATTCAAAAGAATTGGGATTATATAATTGGTCCTTGTAATTGCATATTTTCCATTATCAAACGAAACACCAACTCGTGTCTTAAAATCCTACTTAAGAAATCATTACAATTGGCATACATTTGTAAAGAAAATGAGACTCAAACAAACAGAAATGCATGGAGACAATATTCGACACTTCTTAGCAGAAAAAACAGAGTGGATTACAATATGTATGCTCCGAAAAAATGTCATAACCTAGTTTGAACTGACACTATGAGACGAATGGCAATGAAGTTAGCATTTATCTCACTCTAAAGCGTCTCAAAAGTTAAAATAGAACATGCCACTTTATAGACAAGATTAGATTAAATTCACGTAATCTAATACAACATGTTTACGGCATTTCATCCAACAACTAAACCCATCCTTGAAACAGTGAGGAATCAAATATTTCAACAAATAAGAATCCATTCAGAGCACTGTTCTTCTCACATAAACATAGAGCAGATAAAGTAATAATTAAAACAACAAATGGAGTTGTCCTACGAAATCGAAAAAATACCACAAACCTTGTTTGCTTAACCTGTCAAACCACTTTGAAAACCCCAAATCCGGAGCTCCAGTTTCCAGCTAAATCACAAGAGAAAGTCACAAGACGAAGTCAAGAAGATGACTAAAACCAAAATTTAAAACTAATGGTGGCTTACTTTTTTTCCCTTGTTTGAACTGAAATTCCAAAATTTATCAAGTTTAACATCTAATAAAACAGTAAATTGGGGTAAATTGTCCACTAGAAAATGAAGAACAACAAATTAACACCAAAACCACAACCAAACAGAAAATCTAGAAACATATCCCTAATTTTTTTCATCTAAACTTACGAGAACAAATGGGTGTTTGAAGAAGACAATGTATATCAGTAAATTTACTAATATAAACATCAATTCATACCATTAAACTGAAGAAGATGTCCAATACTACAAGAATGTATCAGATTTATGAGTAAAAGCTACCTTATTTTTGTTTTTCGAAGATTTTGAGCGATCTTCCGCAAGGCATGCTTGAATCGAACGGTCACTTATGCAACGAAGAATAGATAATCTAGAAACGAAGAACATCCATCGGCAATTGAAGACAACAAAACATCTGCTCAAATGGGCAACCGATTGGCTATGGCGGATCAAGAGAGAGATGGGTGAAGCCGTGAAGGGGCCGTCGGATTTTATGGTTTAGGGATTTGGGCAATTTTGAAGAAACCATTTTTATTAAGTATTTACTAATTCATTTTAGTTTTTACTAAATAAAAATAATTCTTTTACTACGGGTAAAGTACTGTAGTATAAACTCAATATTTACTACAAAAAACTCCGTAGCAACAAACAAAACGACTTCGTTTTATTCACGCTTTTGCTACGCTAAACTCTCCGTAGTAATAAATATTTTTTTTGGAACAATCATTAACTACAATAACATTCCTGTAGTAATAAACTACTATTTACGGTATTTTGGCGTAGTAAAAAAATTCGTAGTAACAAGCCATTTTTCTAGTAGTGCAGGTTGAATGAAAATGAAGAAAAACAAATCAAAAATCTGCCTTCGAAACAACAATTCATCAACGGAAGCTTCTTAATGTCATTTAACATAATAAAACTATGGATTAATTTATCGAATTTAGATAACCCTTTTCGAAATTTTCAAACAAAGTTCATAAATACCTGCTGCGGTGGCGGTGGTGGAGCTTGGGCGTAGGGTAGGTTTTCACAAGGGAGGGGGGCTGGGTTTTTTTAATTTCACGTTTTCTTTGTTTTCTTCTTTTTGTTTTGGTTTTTTTTTTCATTATTTGTTATTTGGTCTTACATGAGCAAACAAAAGTCAATTTAATTTATGGGTATACTTGTTATTTAATCTTAATAAAATGGAATCTTTCTTTAATTTGGTATTGTACAAGTGAAATTAGTATTGCATATAGCCGCAGACATGATGAAATTGCAATCCCGTACGAAAGCTATGGATGGCTGGTTTGGCCCGTCTAATTCTCGTGCCGTTGCATTGTTGGAAGTTACATGCTTGAACCAATTGCGACATGGTGTACTCCCTCATCACAATAATCCACTAATAAAGGCTTTCGTAGTGAGGTGACAACCGAACACCAACATCTTTCATATGTCGTCTGGGGAGATGACGATTGCACTCCATGATGGACATTATATCATGGGGTTGCGAGTTATTGGACATCACCCTTACATTGATATGGAGAAGAGCTTGGCGATCGTGTCTGGTGTGATGGCATTCAGTCTCGACATTCTACAGATGGAGAATTGGTGGTTCAATGGCGGCCCTCAATTAAAGGATTTGCTGGCGCTATACGGATACCGTTCCACCGCTTCGACCGAATGTAAGATGGGTACGAGCATACATCACATACTTGTTCGAATCATCTTTATTCGTTGACAAGGGGCTAGAGTAAAACCAGATTGTATCAGCATATCGAGCAGATTGGAGAGTGCTCTTAGGGTTTTAGTACATGGTTTGTTTGACGTTGTTACAAGTAATTATTAACATTGTAATTTGGTTTTCTCTCCTTGTGAGAGGCGATGTTTCTCTCCTTGTGAGAGGCGATCTTCCTCGGCTGACATTTCCGGCAATCGTATCTTCTCCATTTATCTTTTTTCTTTTTCCTTTCAAATCCATCAGAAGATCCGATCGTATAATTTACTTTAACACTTTTTTGCATGATTTGCCTTTTACAGACTTTGATTTTATTAGGGTTTGTCGGCTGCTATAACTCATTTTTTAAAGTTATTAGGGATAACCCCCTTGTTCATATTTTCTAATGAGGTAGATGCAATTAATTTTTCCCTTTTTGAGATATACCCAAATTTGCCAACTTGGCAAAATATATTATATAATTTCCCTTTAATACCCCTGTTTTATTTTTGAACGGCATTTATTTCCTTAACTACGTGATATGAGATTTGCTGATACGTTGCCTAAAATCACGGAATAAATTTACGTGAGTTTATTGGTCGTTTCTATCAAATCGTGTACAATCTGTTTTGAAGATTTTCTCCAGCGTTTCATCGTTTTTCTATCGTCTTTGAAGATTTTTTCACCGGCATGGAAATAGGATCGGATTTGAGCGTTCATTGTTGTACGTTGTTAAGCGGGTATGAATGCGTTTTTTTTCGTTTTTTATTTTCGCTGTATGTCCAAGGTTGTCGTGTACGGTGGTTAGACATTTTTAAGAGTTGTGTTGATACTTGATTCTATTAAGTAGAACGTTTTTTAACAAAATTACGTCGTCACATATACATCGTTATTTTTGGCTGATGATGTTTGTTTGGAAGATGATTTACAGAGTTAGAAGAGGATGGTTCACGCAGTCGGACCAGAGTTGTTTTATTTGAGCGTCGTAGTTGGTTTATGCAATAATCGACATAAATGTCTGTTGTGGTCGAGTTCATGAGTTTGATCCATATTGATAGTTGGTTTATTTGTTTACAACAGTCGATTTTAGTGTGCTCGGTAGTACATTAAAATATATTTCGTAGTCTTTTTTAATTTAGTGTATGGATTTTGCATTTTAAGTTTATTTTTGATGATATTAATGTATTGTCATTCAAATGTATTTGCAGTCTATTTAATCATTTTTTAGTATTCTGCATTTTTAATTTTGTTTCATGATTTTAGGTTTTTTCGATGGCGAATTTCGTACGGATTTTGTTGAGGTTTGGTGGGTTGGTTGCTATAAAGAGGTGTTTACGATGTAATGGCTCGGTAACTTCGGTTAAGTGTTAAACTGTTGTAATACAGTAGTATACTATTATGAATACCGTATGATACTACCATTATCATTTTATTATACTATTATGAGATTATTAATGTACCAGAGTTTTTTAACTCGACATATTGGTTTGATGGTGTTATGATGTGTTTTATGTATTTTATCAAAACCCTAGATTGAAATTATGAGATTATTAATGTACTATTTTATTGGTTATGTTGGAATACTTTACGTTGGTTTTGTTCTCAATGTTCTTGTCATTTCAGTGGTATATTGTTTGTAACACAATTTCATATCACTACTATAACCGTAATATACTATCATAGCAGATTAATGTACTATATTGAAATTATTAATATACTATGTGGTTGAATAATACGGGATCCATAGTCGATTAACGAGATCCATAGTCGAATTAGATCAATGAGATAGTCTATTACATGATATGGGATAGTCTAACAATATTAAAACACAAATCCGCCGCCATCACTTATCAGATCTAGGATTTTGTTGATTCTTCGGCCCAATAGTCAAATAACTAAACCCATAGTCGAATTAGATACATGGGATAGTCTATTAAATGATATGAGATAGTCTATTAATTTCAAAACACAAATCCGCCGCCGTCACTTCTCAAATCTAGGGTTTTGATGATTCTTCGGCCCATAGTCGATTAACGAGATCCATAGTCAAATTATACCAGTGGGATAGTCTATTAAATGATATGGGATAGTCTATTAATACAGATGTAATTCGACTATGCATCTTGTAAATCAACTATGGGCCGAAGAATTATCAAAACCCTAGATTTGAGTAATCCTAGATTTGAGTAACCCTAGATTGGAGCAGTGACGGCGGCGGCGACGGCGGCCAACGACGATATCACTCCTAAATTGATTGTTACGACCTTGGAGGCGGGAGCGGCGGAGGTCTTGGTCGTTTTTTGCGGTCTTAGAGGTGGAGGTGGTCGGATGTGGTGGTGGTGGTGGATGACTAGGCGATGGTGGAGGTGTTGCTTATGGCCAATATCGTTGTTATCGTCGTTGGCCACCGGCGACAACGGTGACGGAGGTGGTGGCGGTCGGAGGTGGAAGCGGCGAACCCAGTGGGAAAATAGGGAGGGATTTCGGAGTGCAGAAAATCGTCAATCGCCGGTGTATAAATTTCTGGTTTTCTTTGGGACATTTGCAGATTTTGATAGTGGTTTTGTGGGGATAGTGTTTTAACGGGAAAATAGAGAGGGATTTGATATTATTCAAAAGGTAAAGTAACGGGATTTGTGGGATTTGATTGAGGGTACTTATGTAATTTAGAAAAGTTTGTGTTTTTATCATAATGACAAATTTAAGTTTGGGTCTACCCCTATTATTTGAATGTCTAAGGGGGTTATATCTAATAGAACCATTTTTAAAATTAACCCTATTTTATCCCGCTCCATACTATTCCTTGCAGATCCTTCATCTGGGTGGCATCGACGGTCCCTCTCTCTCTCTTTGTGCTCTCTCTCGGCATCCCTCTCCTATGATGCGATGGACGGTCTTGCAGAGAACCTTGCTCGAAAATTTTCTCCGACAACAGATAAGGAAGAAGGCGTTATTGTTAGTCTACCGTCGAATGAACCTAGAGGTTCTGGGTTTGAATTCCGACTCGTTGGAAGAATCGTTACGACAAAAGAATTTTCTTCCCACACTATCAAGGCAAACCTTTTTCGTCTCATTCAACCTGTTAAAGGGTGTGAGTTTATTTCGTTAGGATCGAACAGATTTGTGCTTCAATTTGAACACCATCTAGACCATAAACATGCCTTGTCGGGGTGCCCATGGCTCATGGATAAGAACGCATTGGTGCTGCAAGATCTGGATCCGGGGGAAGACCTAACAAACATTGAAGTTAACCCCTTGCCTATGGTGGTCCGCCTACACCGGATTCCCATACAACAGAGAACAGTGGAAGTTGCTTCTCTAATAGGGAAAAAGATTGGCGTTTTCATTGAAAGCCTCGCTACAAAAAAATTGCATCTGAACCAATTCGTCAGAATCAAGGTTAAAATTGATGTGAGAGTCAGCTTGAAATGTATGTTTTTGCACGGTGGCAACGGAACGAAGGTGTGGATACCTTTTACCTATGAAAGGCTCCCGAATATTTGTTTTTTATGCGGAATCCTTGGACATGGAGAGAATAAATGTCCCCTTAGATACGACGACGACTTTGTTGACCCCAGAGATGACTTACCATATGGCAGTTGGTTAAGAGTTACGACACTAAATCTAGGCGGATACACACGACTCTCTCTTCAGCCGGCAGACATACCAGGTTCAAAACACACAGGGGAAAAACCTCAAGCATCACTACGAGGAGCAAACATATTCGAATTCTCATCCCAACCAAGGTGCTTTAACGCTCACCAGATGGTGATTGGTGGTAAAGAGAATAGTGGTCTGGTGAGGATGGATGAAGCAAACTTGGTAAACCATA